GTCCCACGCCGGGGGGGGCCGCACGCAGAGGGGGGGGTCCCACGCAAGGGGGACTCCCCTGCATGAGACCCCCCCGGCCGCCCCCTCTCCCCTCGCCCCTCAGCTGCAGTTCCTTTAAAACAAAAAAAAAGAAGAGTGGAAGAGAAAAAAAAAAATGGTTTTTTTTTTTTCAGGTGCTAAAAATAAGAGCAGGAAATTCTTTTCAGGAATGCCATGTTTTAAGTTACACTTTAGGCTCAAGGGCTTCTTTGTCTCCGCTGGAGAACAAAAAAAAAAAACCGCAAACCTACACCCGCCCTACATTTATCATCGGCAAATTATTTTATCGAGAAGGCCCGAGTCCCCCAGAAAACTGTGGGGGCTGCCCCTGAGGGACCCCGCCGACAAGCACCGGTGGGTTTTGGTAGTTAGATGACTGATGCTGCCCGCACCAACACCAGGCAGGTGCTGGGGTGAGGGATCCGGACGGAGCAGGGGGCTTGGTGCCCACGTCCCATCCCAGCTTCCAGCGCTGCAGCTGTACCCAGCCTGGCCCGTGGCACCGGCATCTGGGGTGTACAGGCACAGCCAGGGCAGTAGACGAGGGAGAACCCCCTGTCAGCTCCCTTTGTGGTCCCCGCGAAACCAGGGAGGGCCATCGCCTGCCCCCAGTGCTGGGATGGTGCAGGAATCCAGTCCCTGGCTGCAGAGGTTTTCCGTGTTATTCCACACCCCCGCTGTACAAATATCCTCTGCTGTAAGGATTGCAAGGTACATTTGAAAAGGGGCCAAGGAACAAATTATGTAAAGAGTGAAGCAGAGGAGCAAACAACAGCAGGACTAGGTTAAGACCAGCCATGGACATTGCCGCGGAAAGTCTGCCTCACTGGAGGTCCAGCTCTGCCATGGGTTCGAGGGTGCTCCCAAAATCCTCGCCCACGCTCTGCTGGCTGCCCCAGGAGGCGTGGGGATTGTCGCCTCTCTGCAGAGCAGGGGGACTGAGACATGGGGTGGGGGGCTGAGACTGGGGCTGTTGCAGGGGCGACCTAGCAGGCAGCAGGGCTGCAGCACCCAGGGCAAAGCTGCGGGGCTCCAAAATGCCCTCAGGGCAGGACGGCACCCCCGGCAGCGCTAGGACCTGCCCTCCCTCAGGGTGGCCAGACCCCGAGATCTGCCCTGCCCCTTGAGAGGCCAGGGCACCTCAGCTGGCACCAACACACCAGGACCAACCATCCCCCAGATGGCCAGCCCCTGCCATGCCCCGCTGCTGAACATGGCAAGGCGTCCCTGTCCCTTTAAAAATCTCCTGGAAGAAAATGTTAAAAGGAAAGGAGAAAAAAAAAAGGAAAAAAAAGCGAAATCCAAAATAAATAAACGGCCACATCCGGATTTCTCCCCCGAGACGCTCATAAAGGCTTTATGAGTTTGATATGAATTACCCTCCCTGGCCATTTACAGCTGATCTTCTGGAAGGCATTAGGCTGCTCCTCGCCCCTTCCCTGGCCCAGGGGATGCTGCACGGGATGCAGCAGTGGGGGCACCACCACACTCTCCGCGCAGCCCATCCACAGCTCCGGGGGTGCTGGCCAAGACCTATCTCTTTTGAGGAGCAACTAGAAGGGGGGGTGTGTGTGTCTTCTGGCTGTTGCCATCTTGGCCCCTGGAAGGGTAAAGCCCAATGCTCCTGGGGCTCAGGGGGGTGGGGCTTGCACCCACCTCATGCCATGTGCTCCCAAAAGTGCTGTCTCCCAGCCCTGCCATGCCATGCCATGCCAGGCTCAGCTCCCAAGAGGCACCAGCCCACCCCTCAATGCCGTGAGCATGCCCACAGGGGCCGTGCCAGGTTTCTGCAGGGCAGGCGGGCGCAGACATGTGGGCAGCCATCCCTAGCGTGAGGGGAGGATTTTCTTCCAGTCAGGCTTCACACGGGAAAGCTCCCCCTGCGTCCTCCCAGTCCAGCTCCTCAGGACGCTAAATTGAAAGCAGCAAACCAAGAGGGGGAAACAGCTGTGGGCCACAGCCGGCAGCCATTTCCTCTGGGCCAGGCACTGGAGCTGGTGCAAAGCCGGGCCCCGTGCTGGGAGAAGTGCAGGGGGGAGCAGCTCTTTTCCCGCACCATCTGGCCAAGCTCTTGCTGTCATTGCCCGCTCCCTCTGCAAGAGCAAATGCCACTTTCCTCCACCCTTGAGGTGTCCAGCTTCTCGGTGGCTTCTAAAAATGGGGCCAGGACCCCCTATGCCCAGCCTGGGAGGTAGGTTTGGTGGGGCTGTCTTGCTGGGGTGGGGATGATGCAGGTCCCAGGGGTGTCCCAGATGCTCATCCCAGGCTTCCCCTGCCCTTCTTGGCCCCCCACAACTGGTCCTCAGCGAAGTGCCTCAGCAGCGTTTGGACCTGGTGCTTCCTTCCAGGCTCCGCAGGCACCTGGCGACCGGGTGGAGGAAGCCCACGGGCACTGGGAATGCTGCAGGACAAGCTTGCCCACTGCAAAGCCACACTGGAGCACGACGCCTGGGAGCAACGGATGGAGGTAGAGGTCCTTCAGCTGACCCCAAGCCTGCCTCTGCCTGGCATAACAGCCCCAGGGTTGCCAGTTTTCTCCTGCAAAAGGCAGCCCTGGAAAACCATTGGGGAAGAGCACAAAGCCCTACCCACCATCCTGGCCAGGCCCCGCGAGTTTTGGGGGGAGACATGCGGAAAGGACCCAGGAAACTATTAATGACCAGGGAGCGTTTAGTGTGGATGCTTTTGGGCGGAGGGGCCTGCAGGTCAGCACATGGTTTGGATTTGGCTCTCCCGCTCCCTTCCAGCTAATTAGGCCGAGAGCAGGGAGCATTCCCCATGGATGCTGAACGTGTGCACAGCACAAGCATCAGGTCCTGCCGGGATGCAGGGGGAAACTGGCCCTGGGAGCCCCCTGCCCCGGGTGGGTGAGGCAGCCAGGTAGCCCAGGGAGGTACACGGGGGTATGGCGGGGAGCCGAAGTTTTAACAAAGGGTTTTGAACTCGTTATCTGGCCTGGGTTCAAAGAATGCAAGAACACGAATCACGCGCATAGATGCGGGCGGTGGGAAGGGGCTGGAGGGCAGCCAGGAGAACAGAGGTTACTGCAACACGTGGCTCCCACTCCCCCTGTGCTGCCCCAGCCTGCGGCAGCACCCGTCTTTGCCCTCCAGCTCCATGGGGCTGTGGCAACATGGGGGGACCCCTTCCCCTTTCCCACCCCTTTGCCTCTCACCACCACCCTGGGACCCCCCAAACCACGTGTCCAAGGCATTTGGTGGGTGCGAGTCAGCTGAGCTATGTCATTGGTCAGCAGCAATCACTTCCCCTGCCTTGTCCCAGCCACGGGAGCCCCAAGTAAGCAGAAACAGGGCTGGGGCACTCCAGGCACTGCCATTTTTGAAGCCATTCGCCTACCTCCCTGCACAGCGGCAGCTTGGGGATTCTTGGTGATGACAGGGGGACGTGGTGCCACTAGGATGTGGGAAAAGAGCTGTGGCTGTGCTGGCGACTGGTTACACCGGTGCAAACAGGGATGTGGGACCATTTAGATGGACTCAAATCTCATTCCCTGGGGGAAACCTTGGCCCAAGGCTCTTGTCCCACCACTGCAAAGCCAAGCTTTTGAAATGCTGAGGGTGCTGCTGGCTCTGGAGGGATGGGGATACTGTACCCCTGACACCCTGTGGCATCAGGGGTCACCCTGACAGCTCAGCTGCCACCTTGCTGCTCCACATGCCAGTTCCCAACCCTGCCACGCAGCTCGGAAGGAGGACAGGGATGCAGTGCTTCACCCAAAGGTTTCTCCTGCTGCTGATCCTGTCCCAGTGCAGGGGACAGTGCTGAAACCAGGACGTGAAGCTAAAATCGATGCCTGGCCAAGTCCCATTCCCAGCTGGGGCTGCCGGCAGCGGGTGGCTCAAAGTGATGCAAGTAAAAGCTGTCTCCTGCTGTGGTCCCCAACCACATTAATGAAGATTTCAAACCTGCCGCGAACCCCCGCTGGCAAGTCCGGCAGCCCACAGGGCCAGGGCCGGCCATGAGCACCTCCAGCATCGCAGTGTGGCGCCGGAAAGCAATATCAGATTTCCCAATCCAGCTGAAAGCTCCTTGGATGTTCTGCTGCTTTGATTATTTGACAGACCATGTTTTTTAAATTATTCTTGTATAAATATTTACGCGTTTTTACAAGAACCATGCTTTGAGCAACAGGCCATGGCAGTAGAAGGGCCAAAGGGGAGGGGGCTGGACCCTGGATTGCTCCATCCCTGCTTGGCAGGTCAGCTGGGGGTTGAGTGAAACGGACAGGGAACTCCAGGCTGCACCCATGCCTGCGGCCCCGGGGCGATGCACACTGGGTGCTGACAGCCCACCTGGACAAAAGATGGCTGGTTGGTGTCATCCTGCCCCTTCCCCTCACTTCCCCAGCTTTCCTCTCCCCGGGGAGCGGAGCCTGGCCAAGCACCGGAGCAGCTGGGGGTCAAACTGCCTGCTGCAGGGTGCACTTTGCCGGCCACTGCTCAGAGCCACACACAGCCCCACAGGCATCCCCCGGCCTCAGCCCTGGCTTCGTGCCTGGCCCCCTTGCTTGGCCAGGCCCCAAAACCACCTCCTGCAGCTACCCCAAGCTGAGAATGCCCCATTGCTGCCTAGTCAGCAGGCAGCAAGCAGTGACACGGCTGCTGGCGGGACAGAGACTGCTCCTCCGTCGCCCGCTCCCACCCTGGGCACAGCTCCTCAGCACCCCACTCCCAATGTGGCACTGCATCCCAGCCCAGCCCTTGCACCCCGGGCCAGGCTGGTGACGAGGCGATGGGTGCCGGGAGAAAGGGCACCCACCCTGCTGGTCTCCCAGAGAGAGAAGGAGATGATGGGGCTGGGGGCTCTGAGGGGGCTGCAGCCCCCACATCAGCTCCCAAAGCCCCAGAGCTGCAGGGACAGCAGCTGAAGAAAAGCCCCCTGCAGTCCTGAATACCCTCTCTGTCAG